AGGCGTATTATAAAACTTTGCGCTCGAGTGTTTTGAATAAACGAGTAGTTGCCGCGAGTTAGATTATGGCGATCAGTTTAATGGCAAGTTACAATTTTTCCCTGTGTCTGAAGTTTCTCTAAACAAATTTCTCTAGACATTTGTCGTGATATTTATGTCGAAAACAATTGTAACTATCGTATCGTAAAGAAGACTTCATTTTTTTATGTTTTTATTGAAGTGTTTTTTACGGGAGGCTGAGAGTCTCTAGTTTAAAATTACTTTCCGGAAACACTTCAATAAAAGTACAAAAAATGGTATGCTGTTACATTTTCTTCTTCGCAATTGTTTTTGACGTAACTACAAAAAAATATTGAATTATAAACTGAGAGAGAGAGAGAGAGAGAGAGAGAGAGAGAGAGAGATGTCTATAACTTAATATTAGAAATTCTCTCTCTCTCTCTCTCTCTCTCTCTCTCTCTCTCTCTCAATGATAATTTAATATAATATTTTGTTATGCAATGATGCTGAACAAATTGCTAAAGAGATTTGAATATGTATTGGCATGTTATATTTGACGCTAATTAAATGTATTCATTATACTCGTAATATAGCACATGTTAGATTTTTATTTATACACTTTAAGATTTGTACACTTTTAATTATTCGCCAATATTAATATTTTTTATTTCTTCTACCTCTTTTAGAGAAGATAATTTTATTCTTTTACCTTTTTGAGAGGAGAAAGAGATATTTATTCAACGTTTAAAACTTCTCAATATTTTTAGACTTTATTATTAATTATTGTAATCATAATAATATTTAATTTGACCTGAAATTAAAGAATTTTTCTCTTCTATGTTACTAGTAGTTATGTAATTTCTTTTTTGGGATCCTTTAGTGCAATGATATGTTTCCCTTCTCCGTTCTCTTTTTCTTGTCAACCTGGTTGCACTCTCGAGATGCGAGTAAAAGACAACCACCTCTTCGTGCTCTTACTGGCCCGGTGCCGAGGGCGATTCTTTGTTGCCCTTAAAGCAGAACTTACCTTTTTCTCGCCTTTTATCGGCTATGATGTCGCTGTTAGGTCAAATATAAATATTTGTGTTGAAAATCAATAAGAATTTAAGTAAGAATTGCAATGCAATTTGATTGTATTTAATTTGCAATTTTATTAGTATGTTGGTTACGATCAATTAAATATTTTTGTAATTTAATTTTGTAATTCGCAGTGTTGGGTACTATCTAGATAGGCACATATATTGAAATATTATACATTTTATCTGAGCCTGTATTTGAGATACATTCGAGTTGAAGTATCTGTATCTGTATCTAGATATAAAGCAATGTATGAATTGTATCTGAACTGCTTTTTATATAGGTTTTCAGATACATTTTCACGTACTTTTTATCTTTAATGAAAAAAAGTATGTCCCTTTTGAAGATCATTCTTAATCTTCAAAAGGACTGACTAAATATGTATATAATTGTTATTAGTGATGCCACATATAGATTTGTGTACATAAATTAAATTCGAGCCGTTTGGGGAGGACACTGTCAGCGCTATTGCATGTCATTGGCTACGTTCAGCACAGAAAGCTTTGTTACTGTTGTTGCAAAATTCTTTAATATAATTTATTCATTTATAAATCTACAAGGCACTAAAACCAAGAACCAATCGTATTAAAGAATTTTACAACGGTTGCAAAACTGCTTTTTTTTAGTGAACTATTATCATTATTATAATAAAAATAACTTAAAAGTATCTGGTATGTATCCGAGATATTTTTAAAGATATCTGAATATCTATATAATACATTGGGCGATTCAGCGGACTCAGTTGAGTGAGCACTCGCTGTTATTGGTATATTCTTTTAACTCATCCAATCAGAATTTTAGATTTAGAAGAATATATTTACAATATACCAATAACAGCAAGCGCTTACTGAACTGTTGAGTCCGCTGAATGCGTCCATTTTTTCACATTTATTTATATCTATGTATCGGGATTTTAAGAGTATCTTATCTATCATTCGTAATTCCTTGTTTTATAATAAAGCTTTTAATTATTATTTTTTTTATTGTACTTTTGTACAAGAAATTCGCAAGCTTTATAAATATAGCAACTAATGGATGCGTATCTAGTTACAACCCACTGCCGTTTCTCTATCTCTTTCCTCCTTTTCTTCTTTCTCCATCCACTCTTCCTCTCTTTCTTTCTCTTCCGATATATATGCAGTTAATTCAGAGGCCGATCAATATCAGCGAGGGGCGAGTAGCTTCAAGTGATATTTTTTCATTGAGCCTCTCGGGGACTTCGGCGGTGGTTCGGTGGTGGAGAGAGGCTGTTATCTCATCCGTCGCGCGGTCGCGCTTTTGTTGCTCGCGGCGACTGTCTCGCGTTAATTCTGAAATACTGTCTTGGATGACGCTTTATCCGGCAGCGAACGCACCATTTTTACGAACGCCTCTGGTAATTGCAGCAATTTTAATAACGCTACGCGCGCGGGGCGTAATTAGCAGCGGTGTTAATGCAAAGGCGCCGTAATGGCCCGAGAAATGAATATTTGCTCGTGATAGCGATATCCAATGTAACACGAAGCGCATCATAAAAATTAGTGTAATCAGCATGACCAACGTTCGAGGATCAGGAAAGTAATATGAACCGCTTTTATCTTATTGACTCCGTAAGAAATGTTCGTAACTAACTGTGTTCCCTTGCTCTCGATAAAACTTAGTAAATCGAAACGAAGTTGACATGTTTCTTGCATTTACTGGCATTCACTTTAAGACTCCAAATTAATTATGAAAAGTATTTCTGCTTGATGCTATGTCGAAAACCATTTGGTACAAGAATTATTATTTTATTTGTGGTAGTGCGTTAAAAATGATATGACTTTTTGTTGAGAAAATATCTTTTTATTTATGATACTTTCTGCAAATTTCGTATAATTTTATTGTAAATTTATAATATAATAATATAATATCTCGAAGAGTTACTCTGAAATTAAATCATTGAAAACGGAAAGCATCGAAAATTGAGCTCAGCAGAATTATATGAAGCATCGTATCATCCGCAAATTTCAGAACGACATTGACAGCGTCGTTCTCGAGATACTAAATTTAGGTCGTTAGGGGAATGCCGTATTTCGCATCGTCGACTTACACGCGGCGCCGGCTGTCGCGATACTAATCGATTATTCCGACGATGATGCGCCTTATCCGGATTTCCCGGCGGTGAGCCTTATGACGAAGTGCCGGATAAAAGATTCTGTCGGCAAGTATATGAAAGAAGGATGAAGAAATCGTTTGGTCCTAGGATTCCGTTCGCGTTCGGTTGGCGTATCGCCAGCAAAGTAAATCGCACCGAGATTGATTTATGACTGACTGAAGTTTTTGTCCCCGTACCATCACTAGGGGTGCTTATCAGGAGCCCGTTGATTTATTCCACTAATATTAGGATTATGTTTAACTAAAACATATTTAATTACGTGCTGCGAGCAGGTCCACATGTAACACGATTTTAATGGCAACTATAAGCTATTACAAGCGAGAATTTTCAAAAAGAACGAGTTTAGAAATGTTCTTAAATTTCATTAACTTTTAAGTTACACAATTCGAACTTAATTTCATAACATTATTATATTAACTTTAATGTATTTATAACTAAAAAGTATATTTGTGGACATATACAGTACATAAAATTTAATATATTTTTTATGAAAATTAATGAAATTTAATGTATACGTTCATTACATTTACTATAATTTAATTTTCAGTTAAATCATTCATTATTTTTTATTTCGTTCATAACCACGAACTTCATTTACATGTAAAGGAAGCTCGTGGTTACATTTCTAACAGTGTATATATATTTAGAAAAAAATGGTTTTGCTGAAATATCTAACAATTTAACTCGATACAAATCTGAAAGTAACTTTATTGTCAACTTTATTATCAAAATAATTATGTAAGACAGGTTAGAGTTGTTAGAATATCAAAACTGCAGCTTGCTTGAGTTTCTACATAATAATTACTTCAATGATTCAATAAAATTATTTTTAGATCTGTACATACCTAAGTATTTTGATCAGCAAAATCGTTCTTTCTGTATATATTTTACATTTCTAAAGAAATGTATTGTATAAAATTTTAAACTATGATATTTTATTGTAAATTAAATTACGAGTAAGAAGAAAATGTGCAAAATAATGAAATTGAATTGAAAATGAATAACATAGAGGAAAGCCTCCTAATATGAGATAGCGGCGTTTCTCCTAAATTAATAAACGCTATCTATTGATTTCACCATAAATTTATTGGATTGAAAACTATTTAGTAAAAAGTTCATTATTAAATCATGTCTGTAGTCATTGTAAAACAAGATTTTAGAATTTCGATGTCTTCAAGTTTCATTGAAATTAGCCTTTAAACCTTTATTATTTAATAAATAAATATTTGACAATAAATTCATCATGTAGTGATAGAGTAAGGTCGTACTAATAGAAAAATACGGGATATGTTGAATCGCTTAATTGCAAAAGTTAGATACGATGATCGTAAAGCATGGAAATCGTAATATGAGATACCCAGAGTATTTCTAATATGAAATAACCCATGCTCCTATGTATAGTGAAAATCGTTACTAAAGTATAAATGTTATTGTATAATAACAAAAAAGACAACCGGAATGAACGTCGAGTGCTTATATCAATATTTGATTTGAACTACCTGAAAATGAATTCTGGTTAGAATCTATCGCCTGCTCATCTTTTTGCGCACGCTGGCTGTATTTGTCTGTATTTTAGAAACATTAAATAAAGTTTTTTAATTGCAATACTGATATACTTTGCGTTTTACTATCTTTTCTCGGAGCATCTTTTATTAGGAGCACAATTTTTTGACTTTGCGATTTGCTCACTTTTCACATTTCTTTAATTTTCAAAAAAAAAAAAATGAAATTTGAATTAATTTCTATATAACATTACCTTATAGCTTATTAAATTCCCTTCGAAATGATCTATTATTTTTTAAAATTCTGCCCATAGACTTCTAGCATTTACCCAAAATGAACTCGGTATCTCACAATAGGGGGCCTTTCCTCTACTATTTGTTCGCTGTTATATCGTATATTATTATCGACAATATATTATTCTAAATAGTTCATAGATTAATCCGTATTGTACTCAATTTATGTGTCGGCACTTTTGCACGCGTACCATACGCGCACATTTACGGCAAAATCATTTGCGCGAGTTATCGCGAGTGAATCGCAGCGGCAATCTCGACTGGCGCCCTCCGTTGCGCTTCATTTGGTAGATGAGACCGACATCTGTGACAGTACAAGATTCTTTGCGTACTCGTTCGAGATTTGGGTCAGATTACGGAATGAGTATATATACGTATGATATTACGTACACACACACACACACACACACACACACACACACA